ACTATCCAAACTTAAATTTTTGTAATTTATGAACACTTTGGAATACTTCTTAAGTATCACACTTGCATGTTCACGGTTATCTGATGTTGGCTAAACGTCACATGACACGCAGGTAAACAAATCATTTTTTTAGTAAGTGTTTTATTTTGATTAAAAAAAATATTTATTTTAATTTTACATTTTTATGATTTAATTATTAGCTTCTCTAATTAACCCCTTAACTATCACCCCCCATATTTTAAAATAGGCATGCAGGTGCACTATCCAAACTTTTTTGTAATTTATGAACACTTTGGAATACTTCTTTTAAAGAAGAAAATCAGCAGATTATCGCAAAAGTGGAATTTTTTAAAAGATTTAAAATATCAAAAAGTTAAGGTATTTAAATTTACTGTAAAGAAAATGCACTATATTAATTTTATTGTATTTTATATATAATAAATATTTTACATAACAGGCTTTACTCTAAAATTTGTATAAAATTAAAGCCTTATGTCTAAATAAGTTATGTTCCAAATTTGAAGTTGATATGAAAAAATGTAGGTTCCTGTGAGATTTTATTTAGGGCGTTATACCACAAACAGCCACCGGGTGCCATCTAAACTCTATTACATTTTTTTATGCATTTTTCTGTCACAAATGTCTAGATTTCTCTGTCAATATTACTTCTGAATATGGAATCCTGAGACTCGGACCTTTCCAATGATATGTTTTTTTGTCAAGATTATAAAAAGTTTTGATTGTAAAAGAGCATAATGCATTTTGTAATATGACACTTGACACCGCCCACTAAGGGGGAGGAGACCGCCAAAATATTTTAAAGTACCATTTCCATGGTAACACAATGTCCGATTTCAAAATGGTTTTCACAGGATGAATCTTGGGCTTCGAAGCTTTCAAATTATATATGATTTATGATGATTACTAAAAGATTTGATAGAGAAAAAGGACAACAACAAAAAAAGAGTGCCAAGCGTCCCACAGGTGGTACGGTGACTGAATCAGGGCTTGTAGTTCCAAAACTACAAGCCCCAGTTTTGGAAACCTTGATGTAACGCAATGTTTAGTGCACTATGTTAATAACAAGATGTAATATATTTTCTCTTTCTTTGCATTTTATATCAATATCGTACAAGATTATCCTATTTAAATTAATGCCATAAGTGAGTTAGGTCAAAAGTAATCTAAAAGTAGTCTGATTATATTACCTGAAATGTGTAATGCAATGGATTACGTTACATTTTTTGTCATGTAATTTGGAATCAGTAACGAATAACAATTTTCAAGTACTCTACCCAGATCTGTATATAGGCTATATATATATATTCTGTTACAACAGGCCATTTTTTGATGTTCTTTTAATGTTCTTGTAAATTAAATGTAAATTAATTGCTTAATATTTAATGTTCGCAGATATAGATGTTAATTGTCTTCTGCATATCAGTTAAATATTTTTTCTCAGTTTTTTAGTTTTTTTTGGAAAGTCGTCATATGTACAGGTGCATCTCAATAAATTAGAATGTCATGGAAAAGTTCATTTATTTCAGTAATTCAACTCAAGTTGTGAAACTTGTGTATTAAATAAATTCAATGCACACAGACTGAAGTAGTTTAAGTCTTTGGTTCTTTTAATTGTGATGATTTTGGCTCACGTTTAACAAAAACCCACCAATTCACAAATTAGAATACTTCATAAGACCAATAAAAAAAACATTTTTAGTGAATTGTTGGCCTTCTGGAAAGTATGTTCATTTACTGTACATGTACTCAATACTTGGTAGGGGCTCCTTTTGCTTTAATTACTGCCTCAATTCGGCGTGGCATGGAGGTGATCAGTTTGTGGCACTGCTGAGGTGGTATGGAAGCCCAGGTTTCTTTGACAGTGGCCTTCAGCTCATCTGCATTTTTTGGTCTCTTGTTTCTCATTTTCCTCTTGACAATACCCCATAGATTCTCTATGGGGTTCAGGTCTGGTGAGTTTGCTGGCCAGTCAAGCACACCAACACCATGGTCATTTAACCAACTTTTGGTGCTTTTGGCAGTGTGGGCAGGTGCCAAATCCTGCTGGAAAATGAAATCAGCATATTCAAAAAGCTGGTCAGCATAAGGAAGCATGAAGTGCTCCAAAATTTCTTGGTAAACGGGTGCAGTGACGTTGGTTTTCAAAAAACACAATGGTCCAACACCAGCAGATGACATTGCACCCCAAATCATCACAGACTGTGGAAACTTAACACTGGACTTCAAGCAACTTGGGCTATGAGCTTCTCCACCCTTCCTCCAGACTCTAGGACCTTGGTTTCCAAATGAAATACAAAACTTGCTCTGACGTTGTCTGTGGTTCAGGAGTGGCTTAACAAGAGGAATACGACAACTGTAGCCCAATTCCTTGACACGTCTGTGTGTGGTGACTCTTGATGCCTTGACCCCTGCCTCAGTCCATTCCTTGTGAAGTTCACTCAAATTCTTGAATCGCTTTTGCTTGACAATCCTCATAAGGCATAAGGCATAAGGTTCTCTCGGTTGGTTGTGCATCACACTTTTTCCTTCCACTCAACTTTGTTAACATGCTTGGATACCGCACTCTGTGAACAGCCAGCTTCTTTGGCAATGAATGTTTGTGGCTCCTTGTGAAGGGTGTCAATGATTGTCTTGTGGACAACTGTCAGATCAGCAGTCTTCCCCATGCTTGTGTAGCCTAGTGAACCAAACTGAGAGGCCATTTTGAAGGCTCAGGAAACCTTTGCAGGTGTTTTGAGTTGATTAGCTGATTGGCATGTCACCATATTCTAATTTGTTGAGATAGTGAATTGGTGGGTTTTTGTTAAATGTGAGCCAAAATCATCACAATTAAAAGAACCAAAGACTTAAACTACTTCAGTCTGTGTGCACTGAATTTATTTAATACACAAGTTTCACAATTTGAGTTGAATTACTGAAATAAATGACCTTTTCCACGACATTCTAATTTATTGAGATGCACCTGTATATGATTCTAAATCTGATGCGATTTATGTTGTTCATGTTGTTATTATTTCTAAAAAGCATTTTCATTTGATTTTCACATTTATTTTACTTTCTAATTTTATTTTAAATGTATTTATTTATTTCCAAAAGCATTAATAAAAATCTTAATACAATTGCAATTTTTGTCAGTGGATTTTTTATTGTTATTATTTTATTTAGTCTCAAATGTAAATGGCAGCACATTTTATGATGTTTCTCATTCTGTCAAAGTTTGGTAATTGGTGCAAGGGTTGCTAAAAGGTGTCCTTTGAACAAATATATAGATTAGACTCAACCAGTGATTAGTTTAAGAATGACTGAAATATGATTTTAGACATCAATAGCTTCTGCAAAGAAAAGAGTCTCTTTTCTCTGTAATTTAGTGTGAAAGTCAAATAGCACCATTATTTAGGTAAAATCGTAACTCTATGTGAGACAAAAGAATTAAATCAATTCCAATGATTTCTCAAAAGCTGGAGAATGGGTACAAAGCCTTCAGAAAGAATATAATGTCTTCTTACATGTAATTGAATTCAGATTGAACTCTTGAGTCAAGCTGAAGAGTTTCCAGCGTTAATTGCTGCCCACTCAACGCCAGAGTTTCAGGCTAAAATGCCTCTTTGAGACGTGACAACAACAAGACGGCTGAAGATCAAATCACATCTGCACTGGTTTCACATCATTAAATTCTGCCTCTTCTCCTCACGTTTATAAATTATACTGAAACACTTCAGGCTTTTCAGCAATTTGATTACATTTCTCTGTGCCTCAGCAGCTAGTTAACCGAACATGATCAATGGCCACTGTCTGTATTTTAGGTCATTTTTCAAGAGAAACTGCAACTTTCTCTTGACCCTCTGTAGGCATAGCCTCTGTTCTTTCTTACTGTAGGTAGATTATTATTTTTTTTGCTTATAAGTTTCAGGGTCACAGTAATTTATGACTCACATGCCTCTCTTTCTCCTCTTTCACCGTCATTCTCTTACTTTTACACACAATGCATCATGTGGCCTCGTGTTGCCACGGCAACATGAAGGCCAGCATAAATGAAAAAGCATGCAAGCAGCTTCACAATAACATGCTTGTGTTCGTCTTTGAAAAGGTAAAAAGCAGATCTCATATATGAATTATCCACTGATATAATAATATTATCGACTGATTTATTAATAATTCATTAATTAACATACCAGATTTTTAAAAAATACAAATTTATACATGTGCGTGTGTGTGTATCAAAATGCATTTACCTTATGTTTCTTTCTTTATATATATATGTGTGTGTGTGTGTGGTAAAGATATTTACAATTTTTAAAAATATACCGGAAAGACTAAATATGGTGCAGAAACAATTTTCACTCAGAAATTCATTATTGTAAATGAATGATTCATTTATTTTATTATATAAAAATGAAATTTAATATAACATTTTAAATATTACATTTTTGAAATTTTAATTGTTGGAAATTTTGAAGTACAAAAACTTATAAAAAATATACTCCAATAATTTTTGTTTTTATGTACAACTTTGAAAAATCAGTGTATATGATATATATTTTTATAAAGGCACCATGTACAAATTATGATTTTAGGAATTATTAGAAAATTATTTCTTTTTAGCTGTACTGTACAGTTTGATCAGCTAAACATTTGTATTATGTATTGAACAACCTTTTTATTTAGCAAAATGGGGGGAGGGGATACTAATTATTATTCACTGGTTACGTTTACAACCCACTCAGCTGGAGCTGGACAGACTCATGAATGTATGACGTAATCTACATGTTTGGGTATTGATTAATATAGCAGCTGAGCATCGTGTAGGGAAGGATGAGAGCGCTAAAGGTCTATCTGAGTAGACTTACTAATGGAAATCTCTTATGAGATGGCACGAGAAGAACCAAAGAGCAGAGATTTTCAAATGAACACATAAAGAGGCAGCTCTTCTTCGAGCTCTAGCTGATTCAAAAGAGAGAATAAAAAAGATAATCTTTTACCCTTTTTAAAAAACAGAATCCCTCTCTCGGTAACCATACACATTTGTCAATGCATTGAGATCATTATAAACACATGCTCAAATTGTGCTTTCACATCCAGTAAGTCATTTCTCATTAACCTGTGACACCTCACCTGCTACCACTAATTAGCCCAAATCACATTAATTATTGGGTTGCATGAACCCTATAAATAAATGAAACATTTGTACCAGCACTGATATTTTGCCAGAATCAGAATTTAAGCGAATATCATTTATTATCTTAATGAGCACTGTCTCTGTGCTGTGATGCGGTCGGAAACCAGATTACAAATTGTCCAGGTATCCATTTGAGTTTTGTTCAGCTGATTAAAGACTACCTTTTCAATAATCTTGCCTATAAAATGAAGATTTGAATAAAGGTTATTGTATATTAATTTGAGATTCTTTTCTTCTTTTTTTTGTATTAGGATTGTCTATTTGCACCCCTTATTTTTTTTTTATTATACAGACCTCTTTGTTGTAAACAGCACTAGAAATGGATAAAAAGAGAAAGAGGAGGGGGAACGTGTCCTAAAATACAAAAATACATTAGTCAGGAATGTAACAATCTACAATGACTGTGTGTATTCATAAAGTAATAATACATCTAACAAGCTAGGCTTCACGATAACTCAATCAATAAAACGCCAGATTAAATTCCAAGCTAATTTGAATAATCATATGATTATCTAACTGTGGGTGGGAGTGCCTCAGATTAACGGTGACCGGTGTCTGTCTGAACACAAAACTGCACTTTAAGAGTCTGACACGAACATGAGCGTCCACAGAGAGATGTGATGTGATGTGTAACTCGTGCACAAATACAAAATCTATTGAAAAGCACTATGCTACTGCTGACCATTTCACCCAGCAAAAGATACATGACGTCAGTATTTTATTTATTTTTTTTACATCACATGAGTGTCCAGAGCTTCACTTTCTAGTTGGAAAAAGCAATTATGGATGTGCAACTTTTTTTTGCAGACACAAAAAACATATTTTTCCCCACCGTAAAAACGTGTTATATGTCTACTTAGATGCTCTAGTTCTGAATTAAAATACACATTTGTGCAGGATCCTTCAATATGACACATAAAGTGTCCATAATGCCTGACAGATATCAGTGAAAACACATTTTGAGAGCGCATACCTGTCTCTGTGATGGCCCTAGGCGCTGCAAAAAAAAAAGATTCCGAGAAGCGACCTGCACTTTATTAGCCAATCAGAAATGCGGTTTGTGTTTTGGACATCATTGTGTGACATGCAGGGACCTGCACAAACATTTTGTGGGGCAGGGGCTCAAGTGGAAAAAAGGGCACTTCTCATATTTTTTTTTTTTTTTCTAAACAAACGTTAAATATATTAGGGGTGTGCAATATTGACCAAAAAATATATCTCAATATTATATCTCGATAATGATAATTAGATGATATTTTGCTGAGTGTGTTATTGTGCTGATATATTAAGGACTGCCGTGGACAGCTGACTCCTAAAGTTTTTGATATTCTTCATATTCTGTGTGGTGATCAGTTCACAGCAGTGATAGAAATTAATCTTTTCCAATAAGTTTAAATGGATTTTTACCTTTTATGGGCATTTTTACCTTTATAAAGCCATTTTTTTTCTAAAAGTGTGCATCGTCTTTTCAGTCAAATTCTTAAATTGAATCAGTCAACTAGAATAAGTCATGTGGGTTGTTACCAATCAAATTAAATCACAGAAGCTGCATTAGAAGGGGCATTTAGACGCATTTACACTGTTTAATGCAGGACATGAATGTGTTTAACCTGCAATTACAAATGCATTAATACTGTTTTGATATTTTAAACATAAAACGTTGAATTCATTTGATATTATTAAAAAAAGAAAAGAAAAGATACGTTAAATGTGAAATTAAAACTGTCAGTAGGTGGCAGCAAGTCTCTGTTAATAAGTGAGGCATTGCGATTGAACCGAATCATTTAAACGGTTGATTCATTCAGGAACAAAACAGCTTCATGTTGCTCAGAGATGCATATTGGAATTATATTTGTTGGCGAAATAGACCAAAAACAGTCAATATTGTGCCTAAAACGTAAGTGTCTTAATATTAAATTCTTGTTTATTGAACTGCTGTAAAAAAAAATCAATATCACGTTTATAATCATGCTGCTTTTTGGTGGAAAACACATCAGTCTTGGCATGATAATGATTAACTATAATGATATAAATATAAACATTTCTGCCTCCATATCTTGAATTTTGTGATCATTCTAAATGCATTTTAATCAACTGAATCATGCAGTGAAAGAACGCACACTGGTTTAAACTACTAGACGTCCTGCCTTAGCTCAAATTTAGCTAACTTGCATGGTAGCTCTCTCATGAGTCATGGATGTTAGCAAGACAAATTAACTATATTTGCCTTTTGGATAATTAGCTGTGAATTCGAGGCACAGGTAGCTTAGTCTTTCGTTTATCACCACTCACCTCCACACCAAGACAAACACAACTGGAAAGGGAGGGAGGACTTCACTTCTGCGGCTCTGGCAATTAGATGTTTTAATGAAAATGATCTCAAACTTGATTTTTACCGCTATTTTGAAGTTATTGTAGGTACTCTGCCTTTGCACTGTCTGCAAAAAGTGAGGTGTCACGCCAAGGCAAAAGGCGTAGCTTCCACATTATATACAATATTTGGGTGCTGATCACCATTTACAGAATCATTATAGCATCTGTATAAAATCTAGTGATCATTGGCTAGGCCAAGGGTGGCGAACGTCGGTCCTGGAGAGCCGCAGCCCTGCAGAGTTTTGCTTCAACCCTAATCAAACACACCTGAACAAGCTAACCAAGGTCTGAAGGGTTACTAGAAAACTACAGGCAGGTGAGTTTTAATTAGGCTTGGAGCTGAACTCTGCAGGGCTGCGGCTCTCCAGGACCGGAGTTCGCCACCCCTGGGCTAGGCTATAACATAGTAATGTAATTCAATTTTTTTTCTGACCGTAACAACCAGACAAAAAGTTAAACGTGAGTGGATACCGTTTTGCAACCAATTTATTTGCGATGTTCGCTAACATTAAAGGATGCAAGACATACTTAGCCTATTGTTTTTACAGCGAACTCAATGAAAATAGCTTAACCTAAGAACGACTTGTGGGTTGATGTGAACGCCAGCAGGAATAATGCTCAGAATTATTGTGAATTAAACATCTGCGATGACATTCATTGCAATGGTTTTTTTATCGAGTTACAAGAAAAGGTATGAAACGGATTTAATTGCGAACAGTAACTGATTTTATGTGATAAATGTGATCTTGTGATTATGTGATCTGCTGTGTAGGCTACAGCAGTGGAATGAAAAACGCGTTCTGAGTGAATGACCCTACTAAAAGCTACTTAGCAAATACAGATGGCAGAGTATTGAATAAAACAAAATGGCATAGCCACCAAATTTGAAAATCTGACATTCAGGAAATAAATATGTCTTAGGCAGCAGTTTTACCACAAATACAGACAAGTGATACCACCACAACCACCAGAAATACTTAATTGTGTCTGCTTTACAATAAAACACAAGCTCATTGCGACCGATTCCCTGACATTCATTGCGACCCATTTAACAGGTGCATCATTTTAAGTTAGAACAACTTGAACAGCAACAAACAATAACAATACAGCGAAATAATTAACTAACTACGATCATCTAGCCCTCTATTAAACATTTTTAAAAAATATTTTATCATAGATTACTCAGTAGTGCTGCATTCTAGTTGCACCGCTTGCACCGAGATGTAACAATTAAAATGCGATTTTGTGAAACAGACTGTCTTAAAGCCATTTTTATAAGTTTCACAGTCTAGCGAGTTTCACACTCTGGAGCAGAGCTGCAGTCCACCTGCAGTGGCCACGCCCTTAATTATGCAGAACTTTAAGGCTTAATATAATTTAAACAGATGAGTTATAAAAAAAATTCACCCCCCTCACAGTTGTCATGAAGGGCAAAATTACCTATATAGACCAAAAGCACTTTTTGTACCAGGCTGTAAACTTTTTTTTTTCTGCTGTAAAGTTGGGCATTTTAACATGGCAGGTCTATGGGACTGACTCCCTTTTGGAGCCAGTCGATGAATTGCAGTTTTAGTCACTTCCGACAAATAAGTGAATGGGCCACATGTTTTTTTTTTACTTTTACTTTGTGCTATGTCATCGCCCCCTTTCGTCACCTCAGCCGGCCCTCGGCGAGTGAGCACCAAAACACACTTAGCCAATCAGTAGTAAGGGGCGTGTCCACTCATGATGGGGGCGGTGCCTGTTGCATAGCATCTTTGGGGGCGGAGCTATCAAGATGGGGTGTGATCCTTTTGGGTAGGGGCGTGTTTGTTTTGGTCATTTTAAATATAAACATTGTTTGTCAGAAATGGCTTACTGCACCTTTAAAAGATATAAATGATAAGCGCATCCTTTCTAACATTAAAGGATGCAAGACATACTTAGCCTATTGTTTTTACAGCGAACTCAATGAAAATAGCTTAACCTAAGAACGACTTGTGGGTTGATGTGAACGCCAGCAGGAATAATGCTCAGAATTATTGTGAATTAAACATCTGCGATGACATTCATTGCAATGGTTTTTTTATCGAGTTACAAGAAAAGGTATGAAACGGATTTAATTGCGAACAGTAACTGATTTTATGTGATAAATGTGATCTTGTGATTATGTGATCTGCTGTGTAGGCTACAGCAGTGGAATGAAAAACGCGTTCTGAGTGAATGACCCTACTAAAAGCTACTTAGCAAATACAGATGGCAGAGTATTGAATAAAACAAAATGGCATAGCCACCAAATTTGAAAATCTGACATTCAGGAAATAAATATGTCTTAGGCAGCAGTTTTACCACAAATACAGACAAGTGATACCACCACAACCACCAGAAATACTTAATTGTGTCTGCTTTACAATAAAACACAAGCTCATTGCGACCGATTCCCTGACATTCATTGCGACCCATTTAACAGGTGCATCATTTTAAGTTAGAACAACTTGAACAGCAACAAACAA